TCTGCCGAATCAGCTTTGAGCCTTCAAAAGGAATTGATCGATCTCCTTGCCTTAGGGGGTTTTCAACTCCGGAAATGGGGTAGTATGAATCCCCTTCTTATTTCCAATTTAGATAAATCGCTTTCCCAAGTTCCGGTTTCGCTAGAAAAAGAAAGTGATCAAACTATTAAAATTTTGGGTCTGCAATGGTGTCCCACCTCAGATACATTCACTTATAAAATTGATCCCAGACAGCATGCATGTACTAAACGTAACTTACTGTCCGATTTGGCACGAATATTCGATCCTCTCGGGTTCTTAGCTCCCGTTACTGTCTTTATCAAATTACTAATTCAAAAACTATGGTCTTCTGGAATAGAATGGGACGAACTGGCTCCAGAGTCGGTGTCGTCCGCTTGGACCTTATACACGGAGAATCTGCCACTCTTGTCCTCTTTATCTATTCCTCGAAAGGTTACCTTCGATGACGTGAAATTCTGCGAATTACATGGATTCTGTGATAGTTCTGAAAGTGCCTACGCCGCTGTAATTTATATACGAGCGGTGCTAGGTAACCAAGCAAAAACTTTCTTCTTGTTTGCCAAATCAAGAATAGCCCCACTCAAGAAAATTTCAATTCCTCGTTTAGAGCTATGCTCGGCTGTACTCTTAGCAGATTTGATCGAAATTGTGATGCAGTCGTATCGAAATATGTTACCCATCAGCTCAGTCTTCGCATGGTCTGATTCAACTGTTACGCTTTCGTGGATTCAATCTTCACCCCATAAGTGGGCAACATTTGTTAGCAACAGGGTTACCCATATTCAGGAAAAGGTATCTCCTAGTCAATGGTCTCATGTATCTACACAAGAAAATCCTGCTGACTGTGCTACCCGCGGCATTGTACCCTGCGAATTACTCCACTTAGAAAAATGGTGGGCGGGGCCACTTCCCATTGTGACCCTTGGTCAAACGAGTCTCTAAAGATCAACGAAGTGACATTAGAAAGACGAAAGACGACTCTTACTATTTCGACTACAGAGAGATGTTGCTGGGATAACCTAATAGACCGGTTCTCATCTTTATCAAAATTGAATCGCATTTTCGCTTACATAATGCGCTTCATCTCAAAGACTAAAAATCCAACGCTGTTGCTAAATGAATGTTTTTCTCTATCTGAACTCGACCAAGCCCTCTTAATTTTAATCAAGCAAATTCAAAGATTTTATTATAACAAGGAAATAACTGCACTCTCTAAAAAGGACTCGTATAATTTGTCCTTCCCGAAATATTTTCGCAAGCTCACTCCCTTTCTTGACCAAGATGGTATTCTCAGGGTGGGCGGACGTTTACATCACTCTTCTATTCCATATAGTAATAAACACCAGTGTTTACTTCCAAGTGATCATAGGCTGACTCGTCTGATTGTGGAGCATACACATGTTAAGTACTTACACGTTGGGCTACAAACTACGCAATATTTACTTAGCCAAAGATATTGGATCCCGTCCTCTAAAAGAGTGATACGAAAGGTCATCTCTTCTTGCGTTCGTTGTTTTAAAGGTAACCCCTGTTCTTCTCCTCCGGTAATGGGTAACTTACCTGCAGCGCGAGTAAATGAAATAAAATGCTTCACCAAATGTGGGGTTGATATCGGTGGTCCATTCCAAGTAACGATGGGCAAAATGCGAAGCTCGAAAAGTTATAAGGCTTATATTTGTCTTTTCGTATGCTTGGCCACCAAGGCTCTGCATTTAGAACTCGCTACTGAATTGTCTACCGATGCATTCCTTGCGGCATTAAGACGGTTTATTTCTCGGCGTGGTCTTGTCACGGACATCTACAGTGATTGTGGCACTAATTTTATTGGAGCCGCCAAACAACTCGCTCAAAAGATGCATAATGCTTCCACACGAGAAGGCATAAGGTGGCACTTTAACCCTCCTTCGGCGCCAACTTTTGGTGGAATTTGGGAGAGTAACATCAAGTCAGTGAAAACCCATATTGTTCGGGTAGTAGGAACCCATATTTTAACCTACGAAGAGTTCATCACAGTTCTGACCGCAATTGAAGCGATTCTAAATTCTAGGCCATTGTGCCCTGTTAGTTCCGACCCTAACGATCTAAGCGTTCTAACTCCTAGTCATTTTCTAAATCTTCAACCTCTTAACACATTTATTGAATCAGATTTAACCGAAGTTAAATTGGGAAGACTCTCGCGTGGGCAGTTATTACAGCGCATGCATCAGGATTTTTGGAAAAGGTGGCATCGTGAGTATCTTCACACCCTTAACCAAAAATCCAAGTGGTATGATCCCTCCACTGATATTAAAATTGACACCCTGGTGTTAATTAAAGAAAATCTCTCTCCTCCATTGGCTTGGCATTTGGGGCGCGTAACAGAAGTCCATCCCGGTACGGAAGGAGTGGTGAGAGTAGTCTCTATTAAAACGGCAAAGGGTATTCTCAAACGCCCAGTTTTAAAGGTTTGTCCTTTGCCAATATATTAGTTATTAATGTTTTCCAATATATTAATTTTAATTTTAAGCTTAGAATTCGCGTGGGTATCGGAATTGTTATTACGGTTTTTGTTAATTATTTTCTTTTTTTTGGATTCATTAATAAAATGTTGCCATTTTAGGTGGGCGGTATGTTCCGTCCAGTCGGAATTGTTTTGTTTTTTTTTTCCTCTTTAATTTTTGTAATTGGGGAATTTTTATATCGAGCAAATTGAAATTGGTTTTCTTTTAATTAATTGCTGCGGTTATATTCTCCGCGTATTTTGGTGACAATCTCACTGGGTATATGGCCAGAAAAACTCGTATGTCGCTTGGGTGTCGTACTCCGCTGTGATCGGGACTAGTACGACTCAGGTAGAGACCAACGTCAGAGCATTTTCCGCATGCCAGAATTAATATCTCGAGTGCCGTCAAGTATTGCGAAATTGTTCCGGTCAACAGCCAGAGCTACATCAAGGTAGGCCAAGAAGAAAAGAGATTGTCATTTTTCGTCTCGTTACATCGATATATTATTTTTTGAATTGCCCCGTTATTTCTAGCTTCAATTAAACAAACAATTACAGTCCATTGCTCTTTCTCGTCCGGTAATTATTGCTGCCTTGAGAGAAGTCTGACTTTTTTGCTTATTTACCATATTTTCACTACCGAATTAATAAAAAAATTAGCAATAATACTGAAGGATCTTAACCAATTTACGTATTGGTATGATATTATCAATGCTGAGGTTCTAGAGGAGATTCAGATTGACAAAGATCCGCTTATTCAAACAGATCCCTGTCAGGTTTCTAATAGAAAATTTATTTCGCTAATTTGAAAAACAGAAATTCTTATTTCACAACTTGTGCTTGTGTGGGCTATCAATAATTATTAATGCGAATAATACAGGACGTAACACTAAATAGGCAAGAATATATTAATTTTAAATAACAGTTTAAGCATAGAACACCGCAAACAAACATACGACAAGTAACAAATTGGTAACAAATTAAAAATTTTTGGAACTTGGCATGTCTTTTTAATATACTCATGATTTTGTTTATAATACTAAGTTTGTTCCTGTTTGCCCCAAAATTAGTGGGCCAAACTATAGTAGAATATTCTACATGGAAAATAAGCCCTAATTTTCTAGATAAACACAACAAACAAACGCAGTCACATGCCGTAAAAGGAAAGGGGTGAAAATGATTTTTATTAATATTACCGAAACAGGGTGCAATAAAACTTTTGAAATTTTACCGTTTTAGTAATTTTGGCATGCTGAATCCGGTTCTGAAGTTATAGATGTCAAATTTTTGTCAGAGGCATAACTTTGAGGGTTGCAGGTGACAAAAACTGCAATAACTCTTTTGTGATTCGACTTTTAGACTTTTTCCTTAGAAAATTGGAAATGTCGTGTTCTTATCATAATAAGCCATGCTTGTTTGATATTGCTGGGGTCAACCATTTTCGAGCAAAATTGACTTAAAAAATGCACTGCCCAACTGATTTATTCATTAAAAATTGAAAAGAAGGCCTTGAAACATGATAAAGTTTTTATTTTGTTGTCAGTTTGATATTTGTGTTGTCATACAACCCCATCACGTAGTATGGTACTTTATGTTTATGTGAAAGCGCTAAATAGAATTGAGGAAAATCCTGAAATAGTATTAAGATTCCTAGTAGATATTTGCAATATTCCTAAAAGTTAACTGATTTGATGTTTCCCTTCACATTGACGTGGTTCTACAAATTACTATGGAAAGAAAAAGATTCGCCGTTATTTGCCAGTTTTGGAGTTATGAGGGTTGATCGAATAACTATCTTTCAACATAATGTTAACAGGTGATTTTATTTTACCGAACAGATTAAATGCTTCTTCCTACTTAAATGAAAATTAGCAAATAGTAAACCTATCAATCCGGTTTCAATTTCAACTCCAACATTTCTTATATTCATTTTATTAGAGTTGATAATAAATATTGGATATCTTGGAACCGATACGATAATGAAATGGTAAGAGTGGCATTAGTTATTGGACCACTATTCTCTGTTGTAATTATTTTTAAAAGGATAATTTGAAACTGCACGTTTGTTTTGGTCAGTTGACTATCATAATATACTATGGAAGATGGGATAAAATTACACGCCTTTATTGGTGGAAATGCCGGTAAGAAATTTGGCAATTTTCCAATCGTTTCTCCCTGATTCATTTTTACTCCCGCATTTCAAGAATACGTGTTTTTGATTTTTAGACAATTTTTTATTGGATCGTATTTTTTTTGCAAAACGTTGGAGCTTATCGGTGCTGCTTTCTTTCTGATATATTGGAGTATAGTTGTTGAATTCTGGATACCATTAATTATATACATGATACATCTTCTAATTTCTTATCAGATAACGTTTTTAGTTAACAAAATTATAAAATTAGACCACTATTAAGTGGTCTTTCTCGCTTTCGTAACAGTTTACCTAGATTTAGGAAATCTATAAAAAAACCATATTACATTTTCCTTTTATTTTCAGGAACTTGTTACTTTCCGGAACGCTGGGAAGGGACATGGTTTCAGTCAGGAGTTCGACAATCCATCTTAATTGAAGGACCACGTCTAAGCAGTAAAGGTCGATGTTTAGGGTCGGAAGGAGATAAGTTTTTGTTAGTTGACGAGTAAGTGCGATCGTTACTGATAGTTATTTAATATTCTGTATTAAAATTGTTCGAACACGCCACTTAATATGAGATTGTTGAACATCATGAACATGAAAAGTGACATTACTTTATTTTTTAAAAAATTAGTGCCATTTCTGATTAGCTTGTACCGGGCGTCCATTTTTCCAGGGGTTTAGGAGGCAACTCGCCTATTAGTAGTAGGACACCCATCGTGTCTCGGTTATTTTAGAGCTATTGGATAACGTTTTTTACGGAAAATTCAGTGGCATACTCGGCTCAAATGGTTCACCCTATATATTCTCGCAATGATAGTAAATTTAAACCACTTGAAACAATGAGAGTGTTTAGGTTAACAAGTAGTGTCACTGTCATATCATTTTTCTTTCAAGGTAGTAATCATCATCATCTAAAATTATTGAAAAATAGTAGTGTCTTCTATTTTGAAGTTAAAGAAGTCGTTGGTAAAATAGAAAAACGCCTTTTTTAAAAAAAAGCACAGGAGGTTAAGGAACATTAATACGCTTTTAGAGAGAATCTAATTTTGCATCAAAATTGGCCACTACATGCTGGATGCTCCATAGATATTTCAGAAGTTATTGAACAAAATGTGTGCCCAAACTTTGGAGCATTTTTTTCACCACTCTGTAAAATATTGAAGTAAAACTGTTCAGCTAAGCAATAAATTTAATTATGAGCAACTCGGTACATGTTGCAGAGTGTAAACAAATTTTAAATTGCATTTCTTAATTTCTCAAAATTTACTAAATTTGATATGCACCATATTTTGAATTTTGAATTTTTGAATTATGAATTATGAAAATTTAAGCCCAACTTTTCATTTCTCGTACAGAAATCGAGGCGAATGTGGTTGGCCACCCTGTATATTCTGGAAAATGTGCACAATTTTGTTTCAGATATAGGTGGCGCATTACCTTTCTGAACTTGATTATTTTTGTTTAATTTGTCAACTGTCAAAGACAAAAAAATGAAAAAAATCATTGGTTTTGGTTTTATGTTTTCCGAATATATTCATCCAAATTGACATTGATTTGTTGCGAGTCTTTATAAATTTTTGTAAGATGATCAAGATCAAGATCAAGATAGATCAAGCTAAAAATGGAATTCTTCCGCAAATTGATAATGTTCTTCAAATGCAACACAACTTAGTCATACAACAATCATAAATATCACCGTATTCCTTTAGGTTAGGGACCACTGTTAAAATCTTAATAATATAAATACGTCATTTGAAATCATTGTGACGTCATTTCAGAAAGGTAATACGTCAGCTATAGCTCCAATCTAATATCATAATATTATACTGCGGTGTATTGGCAAGAAGTAAACAAATTTTCAATTTTTATTTGAATCCCTTAAATAGCTCAATAGAGCAATCATATTTATAGTTAGAGTTACAGTTACATAAGAAGTTTTAGATTTTTTTTATGGAATCTGAAAACGTCTATGTAGGGCATGGCATTCCATTTAAAAAATTGCCCACAATCTTTTATGGCCGCAAATCAATTTTCTATTCTCAATTGAGATTTATTCTCAAGCTGTAATACAAAAACAAAAAATAAGGACATATTTTTTGAATCAAGTTGTAAAAAATCAGCAAATTTATTTTTTGTTTTTAGAGGGATGATAAAATTGGTGTCGTCGTTGGGGTCTTTAATAACCAAACAGATCAGCGACGATGCTTTCCTTGATGAAAATTAAGGATTAAACTAAAAGGCTTTCCAAAATTAAATGCGTTTCCGCTTTGTTTCAGTAAAAGGGCCTGTTACCGTTGTGTTGTCATTCACGAAAAGCACGCGAATGTCCTGCAGTACAAAGAAAGTGAGTAGCACTGTTCTAGACCATCCAATTAAACGTATCTAGGTAATCTGAGCAACCTCCAGCTAATTTTTTTCTGTCATTATTTTTACTATTATTTCTGTTTATTTTTTTACATCATTCTATAATCAAATCAAATGAAACTCTCTTAGTTATTAAGTCACACAAATTTGGTTTATTCAGTAAAATAAAACCGATTATCCAGCCAAAAAGAATAATTGAACTGAGCTGGCTTTTACTTGATGAAAATCCATTTATCAAAATAAATAAGAACTAAAAGTTCAGATTTTCACGAAATTATGTATTATGACATGACAATTGTTTCGACAACACCGTGTCTTTATCACTTGACAAAGACACGGTGTTGTCGAAACAATTGTCAGGTCATAATGTATAATTTCGTGAAAATCTGAACTTTTAGTTCTTATTTATTTTCAAAAAGAATAAACCATCTTCAGAGAGTGTCTCACGTAAGGTGATCCAGATACTTTTCTCAAAACCCGTTATAGTTTTTTGTATTGTATTATATTTAATGTTTAATATTTGGTGTGCAATAATAAGGGACCGAATAGGTGGGTCGTATTTTTTATGATGAGGCGCTGACAGAAGAGGTATTTTAATTTGATCAAAAATCAAATCAAAGCTGAAATAAATAGACTTCCGCCAAATTGTTTTTCAAGGTGATGGTCCATATCATTGTACTCAACATTGCATATAGGACATATGCTGCGCGGTCCTCAAGGAGTCCTGATCTGACTGCATTTTTTTTTTCTTATGGATAACTATAAAAAATAGGGTAACAAACATAGAAATAATTATTATTCGTCCTTTGAATCTTCTAGATGTAAAATAAAATAGTTCCGTGAATTATTCTAAATAAAACTATTTTGGTTTACGATATTGTCATAGTTTTTGTCTTAGAAAAATATCAACACGAATGAGTAAAAAAATTAGAATACTCCAAATAAGACATTCGCTATTCCAAAATATAGAGGGCATGCCATTTAAAAAACGAGATCTTGGTATTTACAAATTTAGAAAAATTCATTAAATTTAAGTCTTGTTTGTATATAGGGTGATTTCTCAATAACAGGTCACATAATCTCAAACCGTGTTTTGTTTTTACCTGTAAATCCAATAATATAATACAATTTAGGTTGTACCAAGATGGTAAAGTTGATGTCGATATCGACGGATTGGGGCACCCCGTAGAATCAATAATTAAATAATCTACAAACTTCCTTAAATCCAAAGATCTGTTGTATTCTGGAAAACTACAGATTTTAAGAAATGTATATGGGTTATCTTATGTGACACACCCTGTACATAAAGGAACTGTAAGAAGAGATATATTTTTTATTATATTGATAATTTTTCATAAAAGTCAGATAACGAAAGAAAGCCAAGTCAATCGAGGGGCAAAGACTACATAATAGTTTACTGAAATACAACGTAAAATTAAAATAAATTCAAGATGAACATATAGCTTGTTACCTGCCTGAAATATGTATCTTTCTTTTAATTCCTTTATATACAATATATATTTGAAGGTGGCCAATTGTTTTTGGCCAAAACGTTCGTAATGATTGCCGAATTAAAAAGTTTTATATTATCGATTACCCAGCAATAAAAAAATGTATTTTTAATATTCAATCATTTAAATAATTTTCGCTGCATGAGACGTTCCCCAACAACAAAAGCAGAAAAATAATTTAATAGCATCGATTTAATTTTTAATTGACCAGCTTTAAATTAAAGTTTTATCTATAATGTAAAAAGTTGTCAATTTCGAAATTTTAGAAACGAAACGTGTTTACATTGTAAAAATGCATAGCAGAATAAAAAGCGATTGATTAGATACTACTATTTACCCTCTTTTGAACATTTTTTAAAAATCTTATAAATTATGTTCGGCAATTAACTTATTAACAAAAAAGTTATTAAATTATTTTTAAGTTACAACGAAGCAAATTTTATCGGAAACTTATTGATATTTGCTGAAAAATATTCAGATGGACAAGAACGTACAACGAATAGCAGAAAATTTGAAAAGAATATATACAAAAATCTGAGTTTTATATATTTTTTTCTGGATTTGTTTTATTAACTATTTCTTCCTAAAAACCGTCTTTTGAGTATGTTATCAACTGTTAATATTTTAAGTAGGTATTCTGTTGTATAAATTGTGTTATGGTTAAAAAATGTATTACAATAAAGGAAAAATGTGATTAAGTCATTGGTAAGTAATTTTTTTGTGGAAAAATTCCTCATAATCCTAAAATATTTTTGTCATTTTTTACTATTCATTGTCCCTTCAACGATGCAATAAAATGATACGATAAACGTTATCCCACCAAGAATGCTGCTAATCTCAAGTTGTAATTCCTTTATTTTCGATGCTGAATAGAATTTTGTGTTGCAGCTTTTTGCCATAACAGAGACTCGTTGCCAACGCTCTGTAGTCTGATAACTGGGGACGCTCTGCTATATTCCATGTTTAGAGAAAACGCGGCTCCCGTGCCCTGTCCCTTCAGGGGACCATTTACCTTCACGTATAACAGAGGACATGGAGAATGTCGCTCCCCCGTGTCCAGTATCGATACTTGCACGGAAGATAGTAAATTGTTATTAAGTTACCAAGCTTGTCCCGACGTCCACGGCTCTGAAAGTACAGGTGAGCGATCTGTGTTTATGTAGTAGTTAAACAAATATGTTACAAGTCAAATTGATGTGTTGACGATTATTATTATTGTTGTATAGGCCTTGTACATCTTATTTTTTGTATTTATTAGTTTCATTTACTTTTTATTTTAAAATAAGTGCGTCATATTTTGATCTTCATTAAGTCTTTCGTCTAGCTAATAAATCTTTAGATAATTGTTATAATTAAATTTAAATTAAAAGAAATTGAAATCATAAGAATGATAGGAAAGCAGAATACCTGGATTGGATTTTTATTGTTTGTTTGACTTGCTTAATGTTAATTTTATGCATATCTAGTTCACTAAGTCTGTTGCATTTTCTGTTGCCCAAAAAATAAATACGCTGTACTGTTATTTCTTTCACAGCTAAAGCCGCCTTGGATCTTTTTCAAATGAATAATATCTCAACAAAAATCTACCAATTGCTTGGTTTCAGCCTCTTAATATTTTTCAGTTATAAGGGATATGTGTCATTCTAAGATTGATTCAGGATTCAGTATCTTGTTTAGTCAGTCAACGCTGTTGGCTGGTCAATAGTGTGTCTATAATATCAAACATTAACGGACTTGTACTTTTGGATTTTTATTTTATTTTTTCTTTCTGGGATTATATATAGACCCATAAGCAGCGAACAAATTCGGTTCATATAGTTTTATTCAACAATCGGTTTTACAAAATGTAAATCCAGTGTAATAATTTTTCTTCAAAACTGAGTGAAGTAGCAGTGATAACAGAGGAAAACGTCTAGTGCTTTTGCAAGTACATGATATTAATCATGTACGAATTGTATGTATTGAAGTATAAAATTTTCATCACTTTAATGCGGAGCTCTTATCTCATTGACGCAGGTCAAGATTTTCAAAAAATAAACAACATTGATCAAATGCTTTCACAAAAATAAGAAATAACATTTGGCCAATAATCGTTATTTGTAAGAAGTACTACCTACAAATCAATTTGACAAACGTTTAAACTAATATGTGTATTTCCACTTCTGCCGAAGAACAAACTTCATGCAGGTTTTGAAGTAGATTGGTTCACGGAGGACTTATGATGCACAAAACAACAGCTTGGATGGTTACAATTTTTAATAGAAACTGAACGTCCCCGGTATAAATAATAGTTCGCTAAATTGCTGTCTAAACAATATAATATCTAGCATGATATGATTCTTATCTACTGAATGCAAAAAAATAAGGTAGCTCTGCGGATCAAAATTATTCATTTTTTGCAAACTTTGCGGAGGGAATGATCAGTTAGGGAAACCTCCGTTTCGATAGTATCATTTCCAACTTTACCATCAACTGATATTTTCTATTCAAATTTCAAAATTTTAGCAAACTTTATTAACCTTTTAATAACTAACACCGTTTACTTCATAGATTAATTAAAGTTTTCTCACGGGTGTTTTCCCTCTGTAAATTCAAAATTAATAATTTTACCGCTTTTGAAAAAAGGACATCTCAACAATGCCGACAGTTATCATCTTATTCACGTTGTTGCTTTATTTTGGGGGCATATTGGTGTTTTTGACTTGCCTTAATCCTATACAATAATATTAAATTTTTGTTCTATTCCATTCAATAACATATCGGTGACTTGTGCAGTGGAAGAACTCCAATGCCTTGCCGTGTGGAAGGAAGGCAGCTCCAGATATCTCGTGGGCAGAGTACATCACAGCCACGCCACATCCAACGAGGATCGGTTCCGATGCTTCGTCTACGAAAAGGCGCCATCATCTTCCGAAAATATCGACGGAGTCGACTACAGAGTTGCTCAGAGCGGAGACGCGACCTGCAACGGCTTATTCAGCGCAACCGAAGGTAGCAGAACGATGACCCTAAAACGAGGTAAACGACCACAATACATATATTAACAACCACTAGTTTTGGTATTTTAAATTGTCTCATATTGATTTCTTGGTAGTTTTAGCCATAAACCTAAAAGAGACCGTTGAAGTCAATCATGGAGATTTAGATATTTACGTAGTGCCGAACCCTTCAAAAACAAGTAAAAATATACAAGTAATGAAAAAATAAAGATTAGAAAGGTACACGTACAATTTTCACTTAAACAAAGAAAAAAAAGTGAGTGAGTCAAACTTGCTGACGTTTCGCCAATCATCCTATTGATCTCTCAAGAGTTTAACTAATACTGCGGTGCATTCATTTATGAATCGCAACCTTAAATCTACTATTAAATTTTCTTCTTTATTAGAATCAGTGAACATAATTGGTACCCCTAGGATTTACAGACCAGGATTACCCCTTCCAGCTATTGTTAGTATATCTGGTTCCTCGACTTATTCTCTAGCATAGGTAATATCTAGCTTCTATAATAATAATAATAATAGTAAACTGTCTTTATTGAAAATCAAATTATTAAATATAAGTAACAATTCAATAGCGGCGACATTCGCAATTTGCGCTTTTCCATGTAACCCCAAGAACATATACATCGTAAATACAACAAATAGACGCACGTCATAGACTCATGCGCTTTTGCTAGATGCTGGCAGACCTAACAAACAATATGAACGCTCTTTTGAAGGACTTTATTGTGGGGAAGGATGTTATAACATAAGGAATTGCATTAAATAATTTAACTGCGATATAGCTAAAAAGTCTCTGGAAAGTTACCGAAGTGTACCTAGGAACACAATATCTTAAACAGTGACTGGTGCCTCGATTATGAATGTCATTTTCTCTGCAAAGTTTATGTAACAAGTACGACGGAGTCTTGTTGGAGTAACTAAAACGAATACAAGCATTCTGAAGTCGCTGGAGTCTCTCCTTATCTCGATTAAGTATAGCTGGGCAGTAGACGATACTGCAATAAGCGACATGGGATAAAACCAACATATCACAGAGTTTAAGTTCGATTTCTTTATTGAGAAAATGTTTATGAATATACAAACTTATAGAAGGATTTTTGTAACACCGAGCCAACATGCTTAGAAATCCGCCACCTTCAAACCATAATCCAAAATGTTTACATCCGTCTGAAGAAGGAGAGATAAACCCACCATTTGGCGTAATCTTCCATATATATCCTTCCATTCATTATATTTCCAAATAATAACATCTGCCTTTTGATAGTATTCAGTAAGATGTTGTGAGTCGCAGATACCTCCGAAATTATTTTTAGATGTAAATTTATTTTAGTAGCGGCATTTAAAGCTTCACTAACAACAAAAGATAAATATAACTGAGTATCATCGCCGTATTGATCAGATTTACAAAATTTAAGGAAAGTAGAGATTTGAGCTGCATTTTTATATAGCTCTTTTTAGAATAGGTCCCAGAAAACTCCCCTGGGGATTACCCCTTTCCAAAGCATTGGCATCTGAATGGGTCTTTCCTATAACTACCATTTGGTATCTCTGACCAAGAAATTTAAAAAAAAATGAAAGAGAAGTACCTTTTATCCCGAAGAATTTCAGTTTAGCTAGGAGAAGGAGATGATCCGAGGTATCGAACGCTTTGCTATAGTCCAAGAGTATGAGACAAGGGTTTAATTTAGAATCCGCTGCTCTCAATAAATCATCAGTAACATGAAGCAAGGCAGCAAGGGTTCTGTGAAAAGGTCGAAACCAGATTGAGTGTCTGGGAGGATTTTGTTATCGCATAGAAACTGACGAAGTTTGTTAGCTGCAATTTTTTCAATAAATTTTGAGATGGTTGGCAACCAACTGATTGGTCTAAAATCGTTAATGTCACTTGAGCACTCTTTCTTTGGAACGGGTATAACTTCAGCTTGCTTCCAAGAGTCCGGAAAAACCCCGGTCAGCAGACACTTGTTGACAAGGAAAGTGATATGATCCACCGAGTAATCAAAATAATTATTTTTATATCAATATTGTCTGAGCCATGAGCGTTAGTTATAATATTAGTCACAGTTTTATTAATTTCCTCCGGGTAAACTTGAATGAATTAGGACCAAATTGTTAATAATATAATTTGTAGATGTAAACTCTGGATCCATACCACCAACAGCTCCAAAAAAAGTAAAAGCAACATTAAAACTATTAGGTTGGTCTAAATCGTTTTCGAACACTAAAGTAGGATTACTGTTCACTTGAAGTCTCTTCAAAATACGCCAAAAATTTTTAGGATCAGCCTCAAATGCACTTGCCCTTTTCTCGACTCTCACAGAAAATTTCGTAATTCTCTATTCTCGTTTAAACCAATATCTGACTTATGACGTATGTATCTTAAACGTAACGTATTTTTAAGTTATATTAAAATTTTAAGGTTTTCGGTAAGCCTTAGTTCTTAATTCTAACTGTTTTTAATGGAGCATGAATATGAAATAAATAGTTCATATTATTCGTAACAAAGGCAACTAGTACGTTTATATCACCAAAAGAATATAAAAGCTCCCAGTTAATTGCTATAAGACTATTAATAAACAAATCATTTTCGAATCTCTAAAAATCTTTAAAGGTTCGAAAAAGACTAACTAAAACTGATATTTTCGTACTTAATTCCTTTCACTTCATTGAACAATTAAAAACCAATATATTACGTCAAAACAAGATTCGGGGTAGTTTAGATGAAGTTTTTCTCTTTATTAAACTCCCTTGAAACCATTAACATTATTTCAGGTATATTAAAATCCGAAAATCTGTGTTCAACTCTTCTCATCTTAATTAGAAAATGCTTGCCTGGCTCGTAAGGATCAAATTTGCGAATAAATATCACTAAGAGCTTTGGGTTCTCCATTATTACCTGTAATCAATATTATATTTGATTATATATTTATATTATTACTATGCCCATAGCTGTATTTATTAGCTTTAAAGTTAAAACCTAAAATAGGTAAAAAACGAATGCACCATGCGAATCTCTCAAAAAAAGAAGTGCTTCACTAAATGTGGAAAAGAAAAAGATACGAAATGTTTACTCCAGCAGTGTCAACGTTCAAAATCTTGCAAAACCGGTACGTTACGGTACGGTACGATAGTTTTCTACTACTAATTCGACCAAAGAGGGTCAGAGTGGTGAAATTTCCACAAAAGTGCCAACTCGGAGGGGACTTAAAGTACCAGAATGGCTAAACACAATTAGAATTCGCCGTATTGGTTGAACGCCGAAGACTCCAATTTTATAATAAATATATAATATAAAAAAAAAGCGGTATAGTAAATCACTTTATAGTTCGATCGTATGTATAGCGAATATTGAGCGAAAGCTTTATTAGTAGGAATATTCTGCTTGACTAATAACGGCAGGTAATCATAAGTTTACCAGAGATTAAACAAACAAAACTTCGACGCGATGAAAACCGATCGGAAATTCAACGGCGAAACCCGGAGAGCGGAGTTTTATTTTCAAATGCTTTTAGAACGGGTCGTTTTCAAAAATATCAATTCTCTATCCGGGTCAAACCGTATTAAGCGAGCTTTGAATACGCCGTTGAACGAGTTACCCAAAAGTTCAACTAAATATTTTAGCCAGACGCTCCGGGCCTGAAATAACCACGATATCAGCGTATTTCTATTCAACGCACCACTTTCTTACTTCTTCGTCGTCACAGAGTCACCGTTATATCTTAAAAGTGACGGCGGGGTGAAAAAATTTCACTCTCAGCCTTCCCCTCAAACTTCTGCTTTACTTTTCCGCAATATCATTCGGTTCGGATTTTAAAAGTTCCACAGGGCACATTTTGGAAGTTTGAGACTCTTAATCATCATAAAATTGCGTCGTGTTATGAATGAAATTGAAGTTCCGAGGTAGAAGGGGCCCTGTTAATAATTCCCTTTAAATGGTCTATACAAAGGATCGTGATATAGAAGCTACGTAGTCCATTTTATTTAAGCAGTTCCAAAAGCAACATTTTCCGACCTAATCCGACCAGAGGGCCAGAAAGTGGTAGCTTTATATATTAGAATAAGAAATGAATAAACTGAAAATATTTACATGTTATCGCTGAGGTTTCTAAAATGAATTGGAAGAAGACTTATTAGGGAACAGTGGTGCATGAAGAAAGAAAATAAATATCTGCGACCTATTTGCCGACTTAGGGATATGTGATCTATCTGCAATAAAAAAGTCCTATTATAATTCCGTACTTGAATCGAAATGTGCGCCTGAGACTGATGAGAGACAGAGAGAATGTCGAACGTTGAAGTACTCGAAAGATTAAGTGCATGCCATAGATTGGGTGTTGTCTAATTGAAGGTCGATAATTAAGGGAGCGGTTTTTGGGTCCATTTTACAAAGAAAACTTCATCACTTCATATGAACTTATGTCCTACACATTTTAACTTTTGAGATAAGGGGAGGTAAAGTTTAAAAAAAATTTTTTTTTCAATGTCTGTAATACCACTTTAGATATTTTATTGATATTTGGTAGACGTGTATTATGTATCAAGAATTATTATTTACCACAAATTTTTTAAAATACATCAGTGGCGAGCATACGAAATTTCACCTCTGTTTTGGCAGACATTGATGGTATGTCATGTTTCTCTTAAAATAAAAATTATTCTTACAACCCCCAATAATTTCTAAAGAAATTTAATTTTTAAATTTTTTTCATTACTATGTACGGTTTTCGCTTATAAAAATAAAAACTTCCTCTCTGCATACAATATTGTTAATATTACTGGGCACTGGGCCGGAAACTAGGCGATTATATCAAAAGGGCTTTCCTAATAGAGTCCTACCAGTTAGGCGAATATTTTTAAATGTTCATAGAAGGTTGACTAAAGCAGGTACTTTGCGGGTAAATAATCATTTAAAAGGGTCTGGAAAAGTTGGAAATTAATTAATCGTACCCTTTTTCCTGTCAGAAAGGCTAATTGGCCGTAATTATCGCCAGTTTTTAGAAGACAATTTGCCAATAT